TTTGACTGCAGAGCCTTCTAGTGGTTGATCCAATATATCACTGGTTGCACCTTGAACATGTGAATTCATATACCACTAGCAAGATATTAGTGGATGTTGTTTGTTCTCAAACTGAAGACCTTTTGTATGTTATACTCTGTTCCAAAGACACATTGTAACTGAATTTGTGAGTATAGCTGTTTCATAATTTTCTCCTTAACCTTGTATGAAATAATGCCAAAGTTCAGTATGTCTAAAGTAACAGTTTTCTTTGGAACATCTAACATAACAGGTGGGTTACTGAATTAAACTCATGAGTTGACGGACCTTGATAACAGCAAGACTGAATAACGGCATTGTTATTTCAACTTTGTCTCATTGTTTAATACTTAAAACATGAAAAGAAAAAAGCATATGGCAAGTGAACAGTGTGTAATAATTAAGTAATATGTATTTCGTATTACTATCCATTATATCAATATTCTTTATGATACTAATCCATCTGAAATTTGTATTAACCAAAAGTGTGATATTAGTATACCTGTAATTGTATACCCTTTAAATCTGTATGTTAGTGCTTAAAAAGTTTTTGTGAAGTTCTTGTTAAGTGTACAAATCCTAGTATAATTCATCATAATCAGAAAAATAGGACAGCATTCTCATACTAATAGCTTACACTATTGCTAATGCTTTAACAACTGAACTATCGAGGCATCAAGCTCATGTAGGAAATTTTTGCTTTGATCGGCAATAACACATTTGTGCAGTTTGTTGAGTCGTACCATACTGCAGGCTTTTATTAGTAGCAAGCAATTCAAATCAGTGCTCAAACAACAAACCTGCAGAGCTCGCACAAAGATTCACAGTGACAGCAGTACGTGACTGCAAATACTCCTTGCATTAAACATGCCTAAAAAGGAATGAGATAAGAAGGAGAATGCTGTGAAACTTTTTTTGTGGTAGCCAAGTACCAGAAATTGGAACATTTGTTTTCCTGCAGTAATTATGTAGATTACATCCTGATTTTTTAGGAAATAAGATATGTCATTAAATCAGCTTCATAAATTTTATTTGTGAACCCACCAAAGGCTTATGCCTACTACATTAGCTAGCTTCAGTTAGCATTACTGAATTACAAGTAGCGAGTTGTGCAATGCAATGTGTGACAACCCATGATTTATAGGTTATGACCATGTGCTGTACAGTAGTGTAGGCCTAGTTTACTGTTTATCGGCACTAACCTAGGTCAGAAATTATGTGAAAAAATACTAGTGGTATTGTTTGGAAATAGAATGTTGACCTTATGTCATGGCAACGTGTCTTTCTATCTATCTCTTTGTCTGTCAAGATTTTCAAAGGGCTGCTGTTTGGAGACCGTGTAACTGATTTTCGTCAATCTTGGTCAAGTAGTCGGACATTTTGGGGTTGAATTTTGTTGGTAGAAATTAGGCCTTTAAACGGGGATTTTGTCTGATTGTTTTCATGGTTAGACAAAGTAATAAATGGATAGAGATGCATAAAAGTTGTGTAGAATTCTTAGGTAAAAAGTCATTTTAGGTCAGGAGAGGGCAAAAGCTAGAAATCTTATAAAGTACTTGTTCTCTTTATATATAAGTCTGATCTTTGTCATCAAAGTTGAATAAATTAGTAAGTGGATAGAGATGCCTGAAATTTGTTCCTCATTTGTAAGATCACCAGAGGTCAAATCCTGGAAACCTTTAAAATGCTTCTCCCAGAGATTTTGTTCGATCCTTTTCAAAGTTAGACAAATTAATAAAAAGATGTATATGATTTTCAAGTCAAATGTTATTTGGTGTCAGGAGGGGGTAAAACCTGGGAATTTTAATAAGGTCACAGGGCATTTTAGATCAGCATGATACCTCTTTTTTTAATCTTAAAGCTGATGTACTGTTACTTCATAAGTCTCATTGGTTGAAGTAAATACTTACTTATCTGATAAACATAATCTGGAAGGATAGGCCATCTTCCCAAGCCTCCAGTGAAAAAAATTAATGCCATATTTACTAAATTAATTAGTAAACTCATTTCTATTCTGTTAACATTAATGTGTACTGTGGCCTTGGTGCCCTTGAAAATGAGAGAAAATTCAAGGCCAAATGTCCTTGCCCTAAAAATGATGAATTTCCCGGCCTGATAATGTATTTTTTACAGTGATTTTTATTGTATTACATTTGTCTTCCAATGTTGCGGGAATTTCATTTCTTCTGATAGCGATCTTGGAAATGCCAAAAAAGCATTCCAGACTTACAGTCAGCATTGAACAAATAATGCCATCTTGTAGCACCATTGCTCATTAGTATCATTGAATTTTGCAATGTGCCCATTGGATTCAATAATGTTAAATTTTAAGTGAAAATCAAAATATAAACAAATTATTTAGCCTATGAACAATGATTAAAAAATACTTGTGAAGTGAAATCTTGTTCTTGTTGTTCTAGTAAAGAAAAAAAAGAAATACATGTTTCTAGACTTTTAAATGTAAATCAATTATAATATTGATGTAAGTGTGTGTGTGGAGTTTCTATAACTCTTGATAAAAGGACTAGAATAAATTTTTCTATGATATTATTTTGAGTATTATGGATGTTGTATTTTGGAAGTGAATGCTTAGTATGGCTAAACTCTAATAACTTGATATTGGGTGGAGTTTGTAGGTATTATACATTATTAAAAACCTTTTATCTTCATTGCACATATTGTGAACTTCTTTTATTGTAATTTGTTAAATCTGGAGTGTGGAAGATACAACTATTATATTTCTAACAGACAAGCTTCAGAAATCATGAGTCTAATTTGTCATTTTTCTTCATAATTCAATTATTGGTATTTAAGTATACATATGAAACATGTTAATAGATTTGTAGATTGTATTTAAATTGTATTTGTTGGCATGTTTATATATAGTTTATAATTGTAAAACTACCATTTTCTCAAATCTTTTATTTTTTTCATTTGTAATTATTGTCAAAACATGAGCAGTAAATGTTTTTATTTGAACAGTAGATGTCAGAAGACTGATGGATATTTAGCATTTAATACATTTATATGTACCAAAGATATTCTGTTTACCATAGGAGTTTTTAGGAAACTAATTCTTTTAAATACTTTTGCTTAAATCTTCCTTTGAATAATGTAACACTAGGTATCAGAGATGAACAATGGCCTGTTGGCTATAATTTACAAAATATTTGTTCATGGCTTTATTTGCTTGGTAGTTTTTGGCATATGAGTGATGAACAGTGTAGTAGAGTAGAAATATCACAGGTCAGAGGTAACCAAAATACTGTTAACACATTTGAATGAGAACTCTGTTTTTAACCTTTATGCACATACATATCATACCTAGTTAAATCTTCATACTTATCATAGTGTATGTCTTTTAATCATTCAAAGTACAACCTTCTCTTGTATTTTAAATGTTTGGTCATTTTTTTGCTTATGCATTTATAGTAGTTAGGTTTGTGCTTGGCTGTGTTGATTAGATGTGAACTTTTCTTTCACATCTTTTTGTTCCAGTAATTTTAACATTTTCAATTATTATTTTTGTCATGTGTTTACTGAAATTTTTATGTTGTCTTTAATGTATTAGTAAAACATTAGTACCAATATATCTCAACTAAAACTTAATTTTTCTAACTGAAATATCTGTACTTCACAGTGAACATGCTGTTTTAAATTCTAACTTGATGTTTGAGTTGTGATAAATGTAAACTCCTTTGTGTTTATTATGCATCTCTTCATAATATGACATTTCAAATGAAGCCATTTTTAAGGATCATTTTTGTGTAAGAAGTTTATTAGGTTGAACCTTATCTCCATTAGCACATGTTTCACTTAGCATCAAAGCCTTCGGTTAGGCGCCGGAATGTTTTCATTATTCTTATCCTGTATTGCTTTATTTACCCATTGTATGGCATATTTTTCATACTTACCTGACTATTATTTGTGTTTGTTTTGTAAGTTATTACATGATAAGTAAATAGTTACACTTGTAATTTTTCTTTAGAATCAATTTGTTTCTATATGTTTTCCATTGTTACAGTGACTTTGTATTTTTTTATGTGGGATACATTATACTACATATCTTACTCTTCCTTATTGTATACTTCTTATTTATAAAATTAAAGATTTTCCTAAGTTTTCATTCTGGAACTTTAAATCTGGTTGGAGTATGTAATACGTTGCAACCTGAGGTGTTACTTTCTGTAGCTTGACCAGTTAAGGAAGTTGTATATTGTTTCATGAATTAGTTGCATTGATCCACCTTGTATTTGGAGGATATATTGTGACTGTCACATGGAGCAGATATATTTTCTTATTTTATTACTCTTTTCCTAATTGATAAACTACAGAGAGTATGTGTTTTTTTATGTAATTTTGGCACTTCTGGAGACATTTGTTCCAACTTCCAAGGAAAGCGGTTCATCTGTAATTTGAGAGATCCAGAAGCTGTTGTGCAAGTCCAGCCCTTGTATCATCTTATTTTCAATACTGACTATCCACATTTCATTTAAGTTAATTTTAATTTCAAGTTAATTCTATTTTATTTCACTTTAATGTCTTCTCACAAACCTGGAAGACACACAATAGAATTGTACATGAAATATGAAATAAATAATGGTTAATTGTGTTCCACAAACTTGTTTGCTTCTTCTCATTTGCACTTGTTCTCACATTAACATTCCATCCAGACATATTTTCAAACGTCTTTTTTTATATGGGGGTATTTGCTTGTGCACTATTATTCCTCTAAACTGGGAATATCACAGGTATAAATTTTAACATAAATTTATTCTCTTTCCAGAAATTGTATTACGGAGAGTGTTCCCATGTTTGTATTGTATATTTTGATTCTTAATTCTGTGATGATGTGTTAGTATAGTGTGCATTCTGTTTAAGATGTTGGAAATGAACACTTTCTAATTTATCCACATTTGTGTTTATTGTTAAATTCAAATCATTATGTGAGAGTCAATAAAATATATGTATATTTCTAACAGTTTGGAGAAGAGATTGAAAAATTGAGCTTAAATGGTGGACTGAGGAATAGAGAACAGACGTTGATGTTGGCTAGACTGATGGTCCGTGCAGAAGACAATGCTTCTCGTGAGAAACTTCTAGACATCATCAAGGTAAAGAGTTGTATGCCTTCAATTTATTTGGTCTCTTAAAAACTTCCAGCAATTATGCAGTATTCTGAAATTTTAATTAAAATATGTAACAGGTATCTTAAATATAAAAGGAGAAACCCCTAAACATTTTCCCTGAAGAAGATCCACCCAAGTTTAAGGTGTGTTTTTTTGTGATGCTTTTTATTTAAAATGTGGCCTAATTACCTGCCACTAGTATGGACCCATCATCAAAATTTTATTACTCTTTTGTAATTCAGTATGGATGATTGATTGATTGATTTCTTAGTCCTAAGGGGTCATAGAATCTCTTCAGATATGTCTTCATATTATAGCTCTTTGTCCTATATCTTCCATATTCATGTTACCTGTCCTTGTCTATTTTTTTTTCTCCCATCATTCCTTTTATTTTGGTCAATATCAAGCTCTTGCCTCAACTCTTTCATTGAATGTTTTGCCAGTTTTTTTTATCACTTTTCCCAGAATTCCCTCCATCTCTCTCAACCATTTGTTAGTTTTCCCATTTTTCCAGATTACATGAAGCACCTGCTTCCAGTACTACACCTTGTTATGCTGTCACCATTTTCTGATTATTTGCCTTCACATCTATAACAAATTGTGCTTCACACTAATCCTCTAATTATTTTAACATTCACCACCTGCTAGCTTACTTGCCACATTCTTTGATTTAGTATACAAGGAGAAAAGGGCTAGAAACGTTTGACAGCAATATTAAATACCCTAGTAGTTGATTGAGTCTGAATTTGTTTTTTTGGTACCTGAATAAGAGGAATTACTCGAGTGAAAGTAAATATTAATTGCACAAAAATACGACACATTTATTTTCTAATTTATGCAGCCTTTTATGGGCTCAAGTGAATAAACAGTTGAATTTGAACCTACTAATAAGGTGAAAAATGTTGTTTTTTTTTTTTTCACAATTTCAGAGTTTGTGAGGCATATTTTTGTTCTTTGTTTGATAATACCAGTACATTAAACAATATTTTGTGATCAAACTGTATCAGTTCTGTCTCATAAATTTTAAATTGTAAAGATGAGTAAATACCAAAAGAACTATATGTAAAATATATTATATAAAACAAATCCACTTAGAACACACTATTTCATACATAGGGTATATCTCTATTACATCAGCTCCTGGTGATGCTTCCAAATACAACTTGTTGATATTTATAATAGGTTTAATTATAAACCATGTTTCCCCATATTTTTTTATAAACAGTTATAAAGAATTTTGCTTATTAATTTATTTAGACATTACAGAGCTTGTAATACTTATTATCTTAGCCAAACACTGTTCTGTATTAATGAAATTAAGTTCACTAACAAATAACATTTTTTAATATTGTTTTGCTTCTTTCATACATTGATTTATTTTTATAATTCTGTTACAATCTCAAATCTTGTTCACGAATTCTGTTTCAAGGACAGACATGCAAAATGTAACTTTTTTTTTTTCTAAGCTATTTCAGTAGACAGTTACTAGTACTGCCCTTATTTTTTAAACTTGAGTTTCTTCCATTCTGTTATTTCTTTAGGGTGTTCTGCCTGTATATTTTCATAAGTTGTTTCTTTACTTCTTGGATCAAATCTACAAATCTGCTAGTTGTATGAATATTTGCAATGTTACATAAATTGCATACATTATGTTATGTGGAGCCTCATCACATCATTACAGTCCATGTACCCTTGCCTAGTCATACTATATCTGAGTACTGTACATCTTGGAAATAGCCATGTAGTGCAGTTACCATTGGGCTCTGTCATAAGGCTGTCATATCCAAGATATACCCTCTTTCCTGCTCCTTTCCCTAATATTTCTAGTGCAAGAAAACAAAGGTCTCCTTGCATGAGTATCGATAGTCTAATCACACAAAATGTGCTGCATTTGATGACTTGACAGCGGTGTCTTTTTATGGAACAATCTGAATACCCATTTCATTCTCCAGTTGTTTGAGGCATGCAATGGTTGAACAGATGTTTTGTGGAAGCAGTTTGTGTACACATGACTTGTGTCACTTTTCCAGATGGATTATGTTGCCTGAGATACATGAACAACTTTTGGCACTGACCTTTGTGTTCATGGATTCTCCCTTGTTACAAGATTTCATACTTTGCTTACCAAGGTTGGGGGTATGACATGTTGCAGGTCACTGTCTGGATGGTCCTGGTGCCCCAAGTTGATCTAGATTCATTTGTTTTGCAATACTATTAAGTACAAGGGATATCTTCCTCTTAGAAATTCTAAATCTCCATTCTGAAGTTATCTTTGTTATCTGAGTGTTTGAATATTTTGTATCAGAAAGAGCTGTTACTTACTCTTCTAAACTGCAACTTTGTAGTAATTGTGGTTGTCACACGACTTGCTGATTTGAATATTCAAAATTGTTTTCCTTTAATATACTCAATACTCTGTAGAACATTATCAATATCTGAAGACTCATAATATTCCAAAAAGGAAAAAAAAAAATTTAATCAAAGTATTTTTAACTACAGATTTTTTTACACTTGTAAATTATAAAATATTTGTGGTCTGTTGTCAAAATGTTCCTATTAAATAATTTCTAACTGCCTTTTTTTTATTTCTTTGAAAAACAGGAAATTAAGTTTAAAAAACTTCAGACATATAAAAAATAGTTTTTTATTTGTTTGTCAGCTGTGGGTACTGTAATGGCATGGAATTAGCAATTCTTTTTGTTAACATTTTATTTTTGAGATTTTTTCATCAACCAACTTCAAGCTCATAATATTTATAGGCTTAATGATAAACCCATAATTACTTTATTAATACTTCTGCTACTAATACTTCAGTAGGTAATTTTTCTTTATCCTAATGTTAAACTTTTAAACTTGTGTTTTGTTTTCCTATTTATAGACTTAGTACAGTGTCACTAGAGCGACAGTAAACACACAGTGTACATTTACTATGAGTTGAATTGTAGGCATAGTACAGAATTATCATTAATGTTAGCGCTAGCTTGGTTGGTTTTAGTATATAGTCAGGCATTCAGTCTGTGACAGGAATTCATCTACTGGTAAGATCAAAATCAGTCCTTGTGTTAACCACCTTTGGACCTGATTATGTGCAACAATATGCAAGCTGTACCAGGTGGTGCCACACATACTGGGTAGCTTGATAGATCATCAAAGGGTGGAAATAACTTGGATTTTTCAAAGCCCGTTCCCTTGGCTAGATAATAGATAGGTACAGTAGGAATCTCGTGCTGATATCAGGGGGAGGTTTCTCAATGGTAGAAGAGTATCTTTGTCCTGTTGGCCTGCGTATGCCCACCTCAAGAATGGCAGCTCCAGTCTGTCGTGTTAGGGTGGGCAGATCAAGAGTTCTGAACATTGAGTGGTTAATGTATTGTCTACAAACAATGATACATTGAGAAACAGTGCCAATGGAAGCAATAGCAGTTGACCTCGACTGTCCAGTAGGAGAAGAACAGGGTAACCAAGGCCTAAACATCGAGACGGTGAATTGCATATACATAAAAAGTGCACCAGACTCCACTAGTCTCATATTATGATATGCAACTGCAATACCATGAGATTAAGAAGAACTGGATACTGTCTTCAGAAACTCTAAATTTTTATGACATCACAGTCTTTCAAGAGACCAAACTTTCAGACCATGAGGAGTTTATTCTCACTGGCTTGATACTATATGCTGACCCAGAGGCTGGAATGGCCATAAGTGTTCAACAAGAGAAGCATCCACTATGAACTATGACAGCTCACATCATAACATTTGCCATTGCAAGCTATGAACCATCCAGATAGCTCACCCAGAGTTACCCACTCAAATTTAAATCATCAATATATATACATGAAAAGTAACACAGCACATAATGCTGATGACTGAAGTTCCTTCCTAATCTGCAAAGGAACACTCCACTCTGGAAGACTAGTTACTGAAGCCTGGAAAGCATGCAGTCAAGTCCAGCCTGAGTTCATATGGATAAGGCATAACCTAGATAAAGCATATGACATTAAATAAAATGAACTGTGCAACAAGGCCAATCTTACAAGCACTTGATTTTGGTGCTTTCAGAAGCTTATGGTTTGCACAAGAACTAAAAACATGGCTACATTGTTTATTTACAAAAATTACCTTTATCAAATCCTTACCCAAACCTATGAAGTACCATTCTTATCTTAAAGGCCATTCAGTCATTGTCCTATTAAACATCAGTGGCAAGATCCCAGAGAAGGCTTGTCTGTCATATTGAGTGACTACTAACATCACCATTAAAAGTGGTAATCACAGTGGAAGAGAAACTTGGATCAACACTGCTGAATTTGTAACTTATTCATCAGAAAGCTTTAAAGCTGGTCAATATACCATATTATTAGCTTTAGATCATGAAGATGTATACATTAAAGCCAATCTGCCCATTCTTGCTCAGAATAGACATCAATGTAGCATGTTTAAGATGGGTTGTAGCTACACTAACTACCAGAAGATACATAATGAAACATGGAAACTGGTATTCACACCGGATCACCATCAACAGTGGTCTGCCTCAAGGATCACCACTCTTGCCAGTCCTCTTCAACATCTACTCTATGGATCTAGCTCATCTTGACAATCAAACCAGATGCTGTGTGTAAATCTTTGCTGGCAATGTTCTGGTTTACAGCGGAGGCTCTATCAGAGCTGAAATTGAAAGCAAATTGCAACTATCCCATAGCAGGGTGAGCAATTTGTGCAGTGACATAGAAAAAGTTATCAATTCTGTCAAAGTTACAGCCTTGTTCTGCACACTCAACAACAAACATGCTGATGAGGACAAAACCATTACCATTGTTTGCAAACACTGTTATTCTTCTGGAAGAAACACTGAAGTATCTGGAGATAGCCTTTGACAGATGACTTCACTATCCACATTAACACCATGATATGGAGCTATCAAAGACATTGTTGCAGGAAATAGAGCTGAAGAATGTCACCTACTTATGCACAACTAAAGTGTTAGCTGCTCCTTCCAGGATTATGACTGATAATGATCAACATGTTTGTACATAGTTGGATAAGATTGAAAAGATATAAAATGACTGTAAGACTGGACATCAGATGTATTTCATCCACCACCATCAAAGCCCGATTATACATCACAAGCAAAATTTTGCAGTGTAAAGACCATGCATTAGATCACTGAATCTCTCCCATTTTTGATGGACATTCCAACTCACCAGTGACCCTGCAGACACCAACTATACAAGATATTGCCTAAAAGACACTTCAGAAAACATTTGCCAGTGGACAGATGCTATGTAGCTACCACTAAGATAATTCAACATCACCAAATCTCAGATTTTCTCATGTGGAATAAACATCTGGTGTCATTAGGATGTATGAAAATTGTCCTCAACAGAACATATAGAGATTAGGCAGAGTGTGAAGCACAAAATTCCTGTCAGCAGCTATTTAATGACCTTGTTTGAGTGTCACTTGCCATCATAGCCACAGATGGTTCCCTACACCAGAGATAATTAGAGAGCTGACTGGACATTCATCATCTTGTTGAGCAACAACATTGTGAATAAGACTGGTGGAGGATGCTTTCCTCTGTACTGCTGAAAGCAACAAACTGTAAATAGACAGTGTCATAAACATAATACTTGTGACTGACTCAACGGCAGTACTAAGTAAAATGCGGAGTGGTTGTTTCCCAGATGGATGTCAGAAAGTGAAGTGACTGCATGGTAAAACCATCACTTTGATGTACATACTAAGCCATACAGGGGTAAAGCTAAATAAGGAAACTGACAAGCTTGCATCAGAAGCCTTATTCAAATCTAGCATAATTTTACTGGCTGGATATTGACCTTCTCCACACTAGTAAAGTGAAAGCAGCAACCATGAAAGATCTTCAACATTAAAGGGAATGAGATTGCTGGAAAATAAAGTATGATATAGTTCAACTAGGAAAAATAAAAGATGGGGGAATAAGTAGGACATTACACAGCCAGAAGGCCACTAATAACACCAGAAAATGAATTCTTATCTGGTGTGAGGTAACCAGTTTCCACATGAGGAATAAGAGCTTGTCTACACAACCCCTGGGATTGTCACCTAGTACTCAACTCAGCTGGAAGAAAATTACTAGATTAGTGCACAATTAAATATATTGCTAGAAGTGTTTCACAAGCATCATAGTATACATATTTTCTTTAGTCACTGGCACCAATTACTCCTTTCATACATTTAAAATGATGAAAGTTAACTTTCAATAGCAACAAATGAATATGACTGTTTGCATCTTTCAAATAATGAAAGTTAAAGCTTTTTTTTTCTATCTGAAACTTGAGGGAAGTTATTTACATCATTTCCTTATTTTATATATTATAAAGGAGTATGAAGGTTTAACAAAGATTTATTATAAAATGTAAATTTATTTAAATTTACACCTTTTCCAAAATGTGTGCTTATAACTCAACACTTAAATGGTTTTTTTAAAATATTATTGTGATTCTTGCAGAAGACAAAAGTACTAAAACAAATTATTTAAGTACAAACCTATTCAGTATTTCCCGTATTTTTTGGTGTATAAGACACACTTTTTTACCCCAAAATTTGATGTCAAAATCTGCTTGCATCCTATACACCGAAGGTATGAATAATATATATGTATATATACAATATACACAAGCCATGTGTAAATATATTTAAATAGGCATGCATAGTTTAGTTCATTTGAATATGTTATTAATAACAATATTAGTTTTTTTACTTTTAAAAACATAACTATTTGTAATGCTCCCTAAATAATAAAAAAATTAATTACAGTGAAAGCAATGAAGATTTGTAGGTTTTGAACCAAACTAAATAACAGTAAACCTTTTTTGATTGACGGTATTTTCTTATTTTGATGTTTTGAACTCCTTTGTGTTTAGAACAATATATACTAATTTTTAAAGTATCAAATTGAATTTTTGTTTAATAAAAATCTTTCAAATGCGAATGTAGCTTTTTTCCCCATAAACTTTGTCTTCAAAATAAGGGTGCGTCTTATATTCCGAAAAATATGGTAAGTCTTAACAAAGTTAATGAAGTTTTTTGGATACTGTATACTTTTAATACATCCAAGAGTTTAACTAGAACTGTATTCATCTTATCATAATGTAACAGTATTAGTTTTAACTTTTTTTTTTTTTTTATAGTAAACTAGTTTGTGTCAGGAGACTTATGCTTAGTGTGTAATCTAGTATCTAAGCCAAGTGTGTGTGAATTGAAGTAGCTGTAAAAGACTTTTCAGTATTCATGAGACTAGATCATGGGAACTTGTATCTCTAGCCAGATTTACAATTAGGGATGTAATTTTTCTATACTAATTGCTGATGTTAATGAACATTCTTCTTGCCCTGCAAGTTTCATTATCCCCTTCCTAACACCTCCACAGTCTGCCATAAGTTCCATGAAACTTTTCCACCAGGTTAAGTGGTCATATCTTCGTCTGGCTACATATGTAAACATTTTCTGGTTTTATTTATCTTTTATAGGTAATGAATCTCTAAATATATTGTGTTCAGTGATATATGACATTCCATTTAAGCTGTTTAAAAAAGGGAGTTTTTTTTGTTTTAATGAAAATTAACATAATAATGCACAATATTTTGTGCCAATACATTTCTGGAAAAGTAAATTCTAATATACACTTTTGATCCATCTGTGATGTTCAATAAACATTGGATGAATAGATTGTTGTGTATATTTTATTTCAAGTGTTTTGTGGATTTTTATTAAACCTTACTATTTTCTAATAACTATAGATACACTGGTGGCTGAATGGTTAAATGTGAAGTGTTATTTCTTGTCTATGAATAGAATTTCAACTGCACAGAGGTATTGCTAAGACCAATATAAAATCTGTAACAACCCAGCAGATGACCATTATGTGTCACTTTGGCATGACAAAACAAGTGCTATACACCAACTTAACTGTCTTCGGATCTCTGCAAAGTCACAGGGAAGTTGATTTAAACATCAGTGATATGCAGGCTACGTGAAATAAGGCTCTGTGCAAGATGATCAATGATGTGTATCCCTTGATCCACAAACAGGAGCATTTGAATTGGTGTTGTGAACATGTATTTTGACATCTTATCAAAATTTAGCCTACATCGTTAATCACAGCATACACTTATCTGGAGGGAATGTGGAACATGCAACTAGTTCCTGCACATCATGAAACTGGATTCCTGTGTTGTTGTAAGTTTGATGGTCTAGGCAGAAATTTCCAGGGGTTGACATACAGACCTGTGTGTGTTTGAAGGTGGTATTGTGACTTGCTGGAGTTACAGGGATAATATTCTGAATACCGATGCTAGACCATAAGCAAGTGCAATAGGAGATAGCTTCCTTTTAATGGATGATAATACTTGTCCCCACAAGGCATTATTTGCAAGACTACGCCATTATCCATATGAATTGATCAGCAGGTTCTACTGAACTCAATTTCATAGAGCATGTTTGACATATTCCAGGAAGATGTATTGCTTTCCTCTAAGAATACTGCAAGATGTGAAAACTGCTCTTTTAAGCCTGTGGCTTCTTTTGCTTTTCACTTTCATAATGCATCTTTGAAACAGTATACAAAGATGCTTTGAGTTATGTTTAACTATCAGGGGATACCACACTACATACTTAATATTTCTTGTTATTTCAACTTTATTTTTAGACGTTCTTGTTTTTCTACCTAGACACACATTAAACATTAAATTTAATTTATATTTGTCTTGTTATAAGTTTTATTATATAAACACAGATATGTAGTCAAAATCTGATGAATAAATTTTGCACCATTTTTCCATTGTTTGTGTTTTAGGTTTGTTGCTCAACTTGTGGAAACGAGTGTAACATTAAATTTTAAAATTCCAGAACACTTCAGAACAAGCCTGTCTGCGTTTGTTTTTGGACTACCATGGACTTTCTCTTATCTGGAGTTGGATGGTGGATCTTGGCAGTTATGTTTATGCCCAAAAACTTAAAATCAAAGTAAGTTTTAGAAAAGTAAAAACTAATACACTGATGTAGGATCACATGTATAAAAATGCTTTTGTTTTCATAGCTCTTAAAGGTGACATTTGTGTGCTTTTGTTTTATAAGGATATTGGTAATGCTTTATGTTTTAAAAAGTTTTTCTTGTGCTGTAAACCATGTCTTCTCATTCTTTTGGGAAAATAATTATATTTTGTTAATTCCCTTATTTATTTTGGTCATTCATTTTTCTTCTTTTTTTTTGCATTATTAAGTGCTGTAGATGGTAATAACACAGTAGGTTTGAGATCTTTAATGGACTGCACTTGCCTATTGGAAGAAAAGAAGACAACATTTCAGTTTGTATACTGAGGCCTTCTCCAGCTCCTGAATAAGGTTTCAGTATAGGAACCGAAACATTATCTTTTCTTCCAACAGGTTGTTGTATTCATTAGAGTTCTCAAGCTTACTGTGTCTACTCTGCTTGAAGTTCAACTGAAACAACATGATAGGTAACATGGTCTGTATAATTTTTTCTTCTTAACAGAAGATATTTAACACACTGTATCTTATTATAGGCCACTCTTGGTATTTAATTTGTATGAACTGCAGTTGATAATTTTGTGAATATTTAGTGATTGTCATTATAACTTCCAACAACTGAAATTAAAAAGTATTCATTCTACCTTGTTTTTCTCATAAGAATTAATCTTATCCTTATGATTGTGTAATTGATTACATAAAAAAGACATCTCAATAATGAACTAATATTAACTAGGAAATTGTTTAGTCAATGAGGCTGTTATAGAACATACACATAAATATGCAGTGTTTTGACATCATGTTGTTTTTTTATGTAGTAGCTAACCCTAATTCTGAACTGACATTTTACAGGAAAAGCAGGTAGTCAACAGGTGGAGTTCACAAGTGTATCAATGAGCCTACCCAAACATGAACAATTATAAATTGGAACATATATTGCTTCTGATGGTACATATCTGACACACATAGCCCTTGTGTAGTTGTATGCTTGTTTCTGTGGCATACAAACAAACAAACTTAATGCAAGAATTAGAAATAAATAAGATTACTTTTTTAAACTGTGAATAATGAGGTTAAGTGGTTGACTTAATTTTGTAGATCAAATTTGAAACCTATAATAATTAATTTTTAATTCTAGATACAAGCATAAGTGAGACAATTTAATTAATTTACTCAGGATTTGTTTTTAATAAATGGTGCTTTTTGGAGTGAAGAACTATTTTGTACTTTTTAGTTTGGAGAAAGTACAGTAATTCATGGGTATAGACTTGTACAATTCTAACTTCTTGTTTTAATTGCATGATGATGATTGTTTAAATTGTGTACTTGCATGCTTTTACATTGTTTGGTGTTTGTTTTGAGTGTCACTAATCATTATTTTTATAGAAGGCTTTACATTCATATTAGTTCTAGTATTTTTAATTTGAATTTAAAAGAGCTCCAGCTTATTGTAATATTTCCGTGTAATAATCATGAAGTAAATTGGGCTTATACTTGTGTTTCTTGTAAACCAGGTAGTAAGATTGTGATGTTTTTGGGTCCTGAAAAAATAGCTATTTCCTTCTTGAAAAGTCCCTGAAAATATGGTTTTGGTTGGATTCTCACACCTCATTATCAGTAAACTCAAATACTGTTAGAAAAAAATGTTTTCTTGTCTTAATCATTTTTCATCAAGAGCAGGAGTTAATATCTGATCAAAGCTAGAATGAATGCCAAAATAAACATTTTAAAAGTTTTGAGGGTGTAGAATATCTGAAATAGCTGAGTAACCTTGAACATTTTAAGAAATGTTTTGTTACAAGTTCACTGTAATTATAATGGTTTTTCGTTAGGACTAGTCAGATAGGCTTAGTGTTTGTGATTTTGTTAGTTGCTGTATGGATTGCTCTATCAAAAAAGATATATCATTGTAATGAGAATGTGTTGTCAGTAATTTTATTATTAACCCTGTTGTTGAACATTGCAAATTTTGTATTTGTACGTACATATCTGGACAGAAAATCATTAAGCTATGTAGATTTAGGTTTCGTAGGAAATGTATTTTTACCTAACAGATATATGATAACTTGTTCTTAAACAGATTAATTGTTTCTTCCTTATTTTTTGCCCTTCCACCATTAGATCTTGGAAGTGTTGTCAACTCTACCAATACCTAATATGACAATGCTTTTAGACAGTAAAGTCATGTCAGTTATTCAGCAATGGGCAGCTCAGATATCAGGCAACAAATCTGGAGGAGAAAGTGAAGGTGGAGAAGTAGAAACATCTAGTGAACCTCCCTCGGGGGCAACTACACCTCACAATGGAGATGGTTTGAAACCTGTTGAAACATATGCTATAATGCCAATTAAAAAGATGAAGGTGTCTGAAGAATCAATATCAGATAGTGAGGTATCTGATTCTAGTCCAAAGAATGCCAATATAGTGACATTGGAGCAAGAAAAAAGCATAGCATCACCTGCTGAAACCACTGATAATCAGAATACAGAGGAGAAGCCATGTAAATCTGATGAAGAAAGCCAGGATATGGCATATGAAGTTGACAAAAAAAATGACGTATTTTCTATGGCATCTAAGTTATTAGATTCTTGGAGTGACTTGAAGGTGAGAATTATGAAATTGAAGTGCCATGGTTGAGTTCTTAAGGGCTTGTCTTTCAAATACAGATACTTATATAAGTATATGTGTGATTGAGTAATAGTTATTTTAAGCTATAAATTGTTAGATGCATAGAAATGTTGAAAGCTGTCCATCTATGGGGAGTTAAAAACATAACTGCATATTATTGTTAATGGTTGAGCAAGACTTCAAAGTAGGAAAATTAAATAGAGGTTTTGGCTCTATCACAACGTGTTCACACAAACACATCAGAATATTAATTTGTAATTTTTTTTTTCTTAGAAAATAACACATTTGTATATACAACAAGCTATTATCTTGTTAATACACAGAGGCTATATTATATTTATAACACTTCACCCTAAGCAAAAAACTTGCACAGGTAAACATACATACTATATTTATTGGCATAAAAGAAACGCTATAACACAATGCATTAAGTTTTAACTTTAAAATGCCTTTCTAGTTGCATTGTTTGACATTGATTTGTTTAGATTCTCATCATTTGTCTCACTCTCAGTATCCAACCGAGTTTTTAATTTCTGTCACATACATATGTTTATTTTGCATTTTCAAGTACTTTGGGTGAGAATGAGAAGTGGAAAGTTTTGTTTATCTTGGCTATTGAGTTACTTGTAAACATGTGTTTTTAAAGAAGTATACAGATGTGATATAGGGAAACCTTCCATTTTTTTGTAAAAATATCAAGATATTAAATTATTACTTACATTTAGTGAAATTGAGAATACAAATCTAGACTTGCAGGTTTAGTTTTTATCGTTGCAATGAAAAATAGACTGTTTGGTTTCTGTAATGTTCATATTTGTACATTTTTATTAAATTATGAAAATTTGTATTGCTTTTGTGCTTACTTAATTTTCTTTTAAGATATTAAAATTCAGTTATGTCTAATCCCCAGGAACCTATTTTTTTTCAAGAACTATTTAATGTATTTTTAAACTAAAAAATGGAAGAATTTAACACAAATCGAGCATTCTTAAATGTATGATTACCGTACATTTGAGGAAAAAACAGCATTGTTTAAGATATTGTTGTAAAATTTGATAAAAATCAAGCAAATGCTGCCAAAAGTAGAGATGAAGCACAAGTATCCATGATAAACACCTTCATTTTCAAGTTTCTGAGTGGATTGGTGCTTGCTGAACTTGTATATTTTTCAAATAAAGGATACTTAATTTCAGAGACTGTAATAGACTACTATGAAAAAGTTCCAAAGTTTTGCATAATGTTTTGTTAGTTACGTCTACTAATAAAATTTTGAAGGAATCTCTTTCTTCAAATTTGCTATTGTAAAATAGCACATTGAGACATGATTTCCCACTAGCATTTTAACAGCTGACTGAGGACTATCACTCAATGCCATGCAATTTTCAGCCAATTGTTACATGTATTTCATTTCTTACCAGATAGATAAAAACATTGAACTTTTTGTCAACTTAGTTGAGTTCAAAACAACTTTTTACTCTTTTTATACATTTTATTTTTTAATGTAACTCTTATAATAAGACAATTTTTACTTGCATTACCCCCCCCCCCCAAAGAATATGCAGTTGAACTGGCTTTCTTTTCTTTTCTGTTCTCGTTTTTCTTTTTCTTGACATATTTATTTGAAAGTTTAAAATGGTAATTCCTTCTTGCCTTTTTCATGAATTGAAAGTTTTTATTCTTTATTTTTAGTCCATGCTCATATATTATTAACTTGACATTATATGTAGCATTATTATATAATATATAACAGTTTTGAGTTGTATTATTCAATTGAGTATTGCATATGGATTATAATAAAAATACACAAATGTTTACTTGAAAGTAGAGAGATTAAGACAAATAACATTGGTATATTATATTCACAATAAAAAAAAAATACATACATGTAGAAAACTTATAAAGCCTAAATGTATTTGTATATATCTAAAACTATTTTCAACAGTATTAAATATCCTAAAAGAAAATATTTATGTTAATATAAACAATCTTTTACATGAAACTCCTGAATAAAGCTGTGCTTGATACACACATGTATACATGTAGTGACTAAAAGAAAACTTAGAAAGAAAATCATAGTTGTTTACCTGTATATATTTTTATGTATTATGCTTGACTACAGGTGAGTGTGTATGTGGTACTCTTCAATTCAAGAAAGATATTTGTGTATTTTTGTTGCTATGTGCCTTTTTTGACCTTGAATAATATGACCATTTATATTGCAAATATAGTGACATTGCTGTACTGTCTTTTTTGCTTGTGTTATTTCCGAAAAAAAAAAAAAAACATATTTGCAATCAAACTTAAAATCTCTGTCATTACCTGAGGTAGGATTTAGGTATAGAACATTTCACACAAAAAATTTTTATAAGATTGGAGATAATACTTCAATGTAATGATAACTTGTTTTTTTGAAGTATTATCAGTCCCCACTTAGTGGACTTTACTTTGAATGGAACTAATTGATTGATTCCTATTAATGTACAAGCTGTTCTTGTGTCACTAGTCATCATTCATTATGGAATATTTTGTGCTTAACATTAGTTTGCAGACAAAAGTCAAATCACTTACATTTTATCCCTAGATTGGTTTATTGGGTTTAGTGACAAGTGTTAATTTACAGCTACTATATTGCCACCAGGGGCATTAGGATGGAAAAAATTATACATTCTGTTGAGCTTGATAACTGAAGAATTCTTTTACTTGACTTCCCCTTGACTATGAATGTTACAGAGATACACTCAAACGCATTGATTAAAAAAAGTATGCTAGGTAGATGAATAATTTATAGATATTGGAACAAATGTATCTTAACAAAATTTAGTGCTATCAATGGCAAGTAAGCTTTTACAGTCATAATGGATAGATACAAGTATGACTGCTGCCTGTTGTCCCTATGGTTTTTTTTTATGTGAATACAAAAACATTTTCCAGGCTTAATACAACTTTTCATTAATTTTCATATTTAACCCAGAAATACTTGATAGTTATTAAATATAATTCAAACGAAATTTGATTCAGAAAGAGAAGTATTAGTTTTGGAAGTACAATATAACACCAACAGTCAGTTTTCAAACTGATGTTTAGTCATATTGTATTTTATTTAAAACTGAAACTACTTCGTATTCAAAATTCTGATTTGATTTTCTGAATTGAACTTTATTGATACACTGTATGGTGAAAAATACAATCTTATTTATTAATCCTGTTACATTTCTCAGTTACAGAAATGACTTTGTATGTTGCCAAAACTTAAACCTAATCAATTCTTAATGACGAAGATTTTGAAGCTACCTTTACACAACATCTACTCGAAGACATTATCATTTTGTGAACAACTGTTAGATTATAGTTTCTTCTATACTTTAACATATACAGATCTTATGAAATGGAAAATAAACATGCTTTATATAAAGTTCTTAATATTAATCTTCTTACTCTGTACCATTAATTAATAAATAGTAACACCCAGTGAAATGAGTAATTTCATGTTTTCAAGTTACCTTTAGGACAAAGATTCAGCATCCAAAAATTCCAAATTACAGTTAGTAGCACAATTATTAAAAACAACAACACATCTTTCATTAATTTTGTTACCGGGTTTGATACATTATACATATATATATATATACAGGGTTTGTGAAAGTCCTTGGATTTGTCTGTGTGCTCAATAGCATATATATTTTTTAATGAAAGTACATAAAAGTTTTGCTAAATATCTAATTATTTATGTGTGAAGATGCCTAAGGTCTATTACCTGAACATTATTTGTGGCATTTTCTTTAAAAGACAAAAAAACAGAAATACAGAATTAAGTTTTATTTATATGGATATGTAGTTATGAATCTCATAAGTGTGCAAAAGTCATAAACTTGGCTACTTAAATTGTCATGAAACTTTGTGAAAGTCCTTTAATTTTGGATCTGTAAGACTATAAATCCAGAATAGGTGCTAATGAACTGCATCAGCTGTATGTTTTGTTTTTTAACTTATAAAACAAATTATTTATATCATGAAAAAATATGGGTCATCACCTTTCAAATCTTTTTTCTTGTTGTGCTGCATAGACATAACCTACTCATTTATAATTTGTAATGGACATGACACCTTGGTACACATGTGAGAAGAATGATTGAATAACAACTTGTTCTTCCAGTAAAAAACATGAATATATTAATGGCAAATATCTTCATGAGATGTGAATTATTGAATTTTCATGCTACAGAAACGTGCATTCTATGCAGCTTTTCTTCCCTCATAAGGAAAGTAATCATACCATACAACTAAGAACCTCGGAAATTTTAAATAAAGGATGGGATGCATCTCAAGTGATACGTTACTTTTTTAAGGTTTCGACTATTTCTTTCAGTTTTTATCAGAGACATTTCTAAACTATAACCAACATATGAAAATTTATATAAACAATTACTGTACATTTCTAACAAACTATATTTGACTATGAAATTAAGTCCATTAATTTAAAATAATCATCAAATGGTAAAATTTCCACCAGATGGTGCTACATTAAATAATAGCACAATGGGGGTAAACTTGATAAATTAAGCTTGTATTGAAAGATTTGGGAATATGTATATAATTAAGAAATGAAAACAGACTGATGTAGTATAAAGATGACACTACAGATAAATTATGAAGCTGGTTAGGTTTGAGTATGTATTTTTTTTCACACACATTTACTTTTATAAATCTAGTGAATATGACTTTGATCTTAGCAATGTAAAAGTTTTACTTTATTAAAAAGAGATTTCACCTTCATATTTTTGGAGGATTTCAGTTTTTCAGAAACAGTAGAAAAGGATAAGAAACTATGTTTAAACCATTAGAGGGTTTTACAGTCAAAATTTATGAAAAAGCAGAGAATACCTGATACATATTTTGTTACATTAATTTACTTTCATTATGACAAAAAGTATTAGCTAATGTGTGATTTAGACAAATAAATGTAATATGGTAAAATTGATTGAATCACTAATATTGCTGCAAATAACTTAAAGAAATAAAAGTGTTAAAATTTATTAAGCATATGATAAATTAGGCACTGACTCAAAAAAAATTACAAAATGATTTTACTATTCAAACATTATAGAAAGTGCGCAATTTGGCAAAACAGTAAACTTCAGATTAAAACATTTCCATAAACATAAAAAAACTTCAAATATAAAACATAAACCTTACAGTTCAAAAAAATAGCTGAAACAGAAACCCCAAGCTCAATTTCTAAACTACAATTAATGTGAATAACTAAATTAGTTTTTTTTTTATGTTGGGTATGAAGAAATTAATTAATAGCATGCTTGGATATTTCCTTACTAAAATAATTTGTAGCTTCTTAAATGTTTTATAACTTTAGAATGTCGGGTAGGAAGTAACTAATCTGGCAGCTATGAATTAGGGACATTATTTCCATTACAGGCATGACATTATGCAGAGAAATAATTTTAAGAAGGATTTACTCACTGCCTTCTCTACAACATAAGGTACCCATGGTGGGCAGAGCACATTTGGCCCATTGTGTAGCTTTGTGCTTAACTTTAAACAAACAATACAACATAAGAAATTTTATTTTTCAATTGGCATAAAAGCACCAATAAGTGTATTTAGTATAGTTCAAGGAAATTTGATCCAAGCCTAACCCATTGGTTAGTGTGCTTGGCTGTGGATCTGCAGATCTATCACTTGCATTCTGTTACAGAGAAAAGAAAAAAATTATATTCACTTTGGAACCATGGGTGCATTGTAAGGGTGACTGACAAATCTCGCCATTCAGTAAGACCAGAGTAGCCAAAAAGTTAACAGTGGATGCTGTGCTGTTCACTAGGTGCCTTTCCTCTAGTCTGTCAGTTTAGAACTAGGGACAACTAGCACAGATAGCCCTTTGAGTAGATTAGTACAAAAAATCCAAAACTAAACAATCAAGGAAATTTTTTTTATACTTTCTAATGATCTATATTTAAAAATCTTAGATTATCCATATTTAAGCTATTTTATTTTTCTCGGCACTTAAGCCAGTTTTGTTTCAGAAAATGTTATTCAGGTTAAAAGAACAGGTGATGAAAAAATGACAGATCGGATAACTCCAAAGAAATTAAGAATCACATGCAAAAGAAAATACTGCTCCATTTTACTTGAAACAAAGTCCAAGAAAAATTATCATTTTGTAATACTACAGCCAGTAGAAAGCAATGAACAAAAAAAAGGTCATAAAATGCTGTATCTTAATCAGTCATAACTTTTGCATTTCTATTATGCTTTAAGAGCTATATCATTCACAGAATTTTCCTTGACATCATATCTAACCTAAGAAGAACATTGGTTAGCTTGTATAATTTTACCTTTGTTTCCATGTATTCAAAACTAAATGAGGTTGGGTGTGGCCAGTAGTTAGTGTGCTGAAATGTGGTTCCAAGGGTCTATGGTTTATGTCCTATTGCCCCCTCTTTCCCTCTTAAAAAATTGTACTCTACCATTTTCTGGTGGTGGGTGCATTATAAGAGTGATAGTCAAATCTCACTATTGAATTAAAGTAGCCCAAAAGTTGTGAGCAGATGCTGTTTCCTTTTAGTTTATCAGCTCAAATTATGGACAGCTAGTGCAAATAGTCAGTGTGTAGCTTTGTGCAAGTATTTGAAGCAAAACTATTTTTCAGTTAGATGCAGTTTAAGTAACACAGCATTGTCATACTAAAAGCTTTGAAACTAAATTAATTTACTCAGTTAAGCTGATTTAAAGTAAGGAAAATATACCATTGAAAGCCTGTAAGGAAATAAACCTAACTAACTGACAGTATAGGCCTGAAGGATAACCAATAAGAATTGCTATCATGCAACTCGTGTTTGCTGCTTGTGCACCAAACAAGTTAAGAAAAATATAAGAACTATGTAAGGAAAACAGGTCAGTTTATACCAAATTATGAAATAAGTTTGTTTGTTTTTGTTGTTTTTTTTGGGGGGGGGTAGATTTTAAATACAAAAAATAGTCAGAAAACTTTTTAATTTTAAAGTTTATTCTCAGTTGCTAGTACAATTTATTGTTTCCTCAGAATAATATGTTCAGAAAAGAATATTTTTGCTGAATTGGCACCTTTTTTTTTAAATTTGTATCTTAACATTTTTAGGAAGTGTTTCGAATTCCCAGACTTGAACAGCAGAAGAGACGTGAAGATGAAAGAGAAGCTGATCGTCGAGATCGAGAAAGAGATCACAGAGACTCAAGGAATTATGAGCGAGAACATCGCAGGGAAAGATCTCATTCAAGAGAACGATCATGGGAAAGAGACAGAAGACGTGATTATAGTCCTGACAGAGACAGAGGATACAAAGACAGGGGAAGAAATAATCGAGATAGATACAAAAGTATGTTAAAAAATATTTTGTAGAAATAATTTATTATAAATACATCTTATTTCACTACAAGTATAATGTATGAAGTAAAACACATTTGATTTTTCTGTATAAGTAACATATACAATTCAACCTTTTTGACAAGATTTATAATTTTTTTAGAGTTTGATAAGGAAAGTGAGATGTCAAAATATTAAGAATAGGAAATGTCAGGTTTTCCAGCTGTGTTAATACTTGCTTTCATTGGCAGTTTGATGTTTTAGTTTAATAATTATATACCTCTTATATCAATGTTAGTAATGGTTGTAGATGAGAATGAAAGTTAAATAATAAATTCTGTCTTTAAACAATTTACCCATAACCTATTTATTTCAATGTAAGCCATATTTTTGGATATACAGAACTTCCCTCATTTTCCTAAAATATTAATAATTATAAACTAATTAAATCAAAGCAATAGTGTTTTAGTGACTGTTTGTAGAACCACTTCATACTTTATTGAATTTCTGGGGTGCTGAGATTCAGACAGTAATACAGTTATTTGTGTAATTTCTCAATACACTCAATAAGATATCAAGGATGTGAAACATTTATGCATGTTTTATTAACCAATTCTTGGTGAAAAAATTGCTCAAAAGGCTTGATCAGTCCTTTTTTTTTTTCCTCACTCTTTGGGTTAAACAAGTTTTTGTTGTTGTTGTTTGTTTTACTGTAGCCTAAGCAAGGGTTAGATGATAAATAACATTATATAGGAAATAGGTGAGGATATTGTATCTGCCAGATCAAAGTTCATGCTTTGTACATCAAGTGCATGTTTGTGCACCCAAATATCACTTTTTAGGCTCATTGATTCCAGATGGATGTACACATTAGCTCATGAAACCATGTATGGTATGAGCACAGTGTATTTATGAGTGTATAGCTGAAGAACTAGCCAGTGTGCAGAAAGTATGAACATTGGTGTGTATAAATATTTTTTCTTGCATTGAAGAGCCCACTATTATTTCAAATTAACAGTTTGTGTCATTTCTTTATCAACAGACACAAATATATATACTAACTTTTTTGAGACTTTCAGTAGTTGTTTAATGCTGAAGTCATATTTTGAATCACTAACTGTCTAGAAAGTAATTTTCAACAGTTAATAGTAACTTATTTTGATGACTAGATGTTAATGTAAGTTTTGTCTGTCATTCATTTATAAAAGATGCATACAAAGCATTTAAGGTATATATGTCAGTGACCACTTTGCTTTCCATGCTTTTGTCACCCATTTACTTGGCTACTTTATGGGTTTATAGTTTTTAATTTTCTAGAAAAGAAACTCGCTCTAGTGTTATCTGATAAGCATTGTTGCAAACTTTTATCCCATTGATAAAAATATACAATTACAACATGCCTTGGAAACTAACACATCTGATGTGATAAAAACACTGTATAGTTGGAGAATAAGAAGAAAAGAATTAGTTATATAACATTTTACATAAATGAAGCAAAATGATAAACTCTGAATACTACAATTGTGGGGGGCTAATTTAAATTAATTTCCTTATAAGCTTATCTAATCAATTTATTTATGAACTCTACATAACCATTTAATGTGGTGACATATTGGCTAAAAAAAACTACTGTTTTAACTGAAATGATAGGTGTCATTCTTTCCGAAACTGTACCATGTTTTATAATCTAATAGATGAGTCACATAGGAGTGAACGAAGGAGATCTCCCATTTCTCCAGAAAGAAAAGATGACAGACGGCGATCGAAAGGAAATAGGAGGAATGAAGATTTTCAGGACAAACCAAAAAGGTATGTTTGCCTATGTCATGATGTTTCTACGCTGAATTGTTATCTCACAATAATAAATGGAGTTATCTTTTTTCAAACCAGGTACATAACTTTTTCCTCAACACTTTCATTTTCTGTGAAGAGTACTTGTTGCTGAGTGTAATTTCTTGTTTCAGTTATTTAACATACCTGAAAGTTACAAAAACATCATTATAGTGACTTTCTACTCATGTAAATAATAGTTTGGTGAATAAATCCTGGGTATGAACATAAAATGAACATTACCAACTATTTATCTTAACAAATGTCTACTCAGAGGATTGAATCTTTGATAAACATGGGCATGTATAAACTGAGGGTAGAGAAATTCAGAAAATATATTGTCAATGCTGAAATTGTTGATTGAAGCTTGGAAGATTAGCCATACTCTGTTGATGATATTCATTTTAATTCTTTCCATGATGAAAAGATGGTCTAAAGAAGATAAATAGGTGGCAAGCTCTGGAAACTGGCCATGAAGTATAAAAAAGTGTAATTGTCGGTTTATGGTTTTTAAGAACTAAGAGAACTGGATTTCTCCTATTAATTATCTTTTTTTTTGTAATTAATGGTATGACATTAATGTGACATTGTTACTGACATAGTCATTGTTAAAGATATTTATATACATTTTCCGTTGGTGTTGTATTCTGAATTAACAGATAAGTATTAAGTCTACAAGGTGGGAGGCTCAAAATCAAATGTTGTATAGATTGAACAAAGACAGAAAGATTCAAACACAAGATTTTAAACAAAATATGAGTTCTTTATTTACTAAGAGAGAACATGTGTCTTACTATACTGATTAACTAGCTTATGTTGTTTGAACTTTCTGACTGCTGAAATAGTGTGGGAAAATGTGTACTTGTAAGAATGACTGAGAATATTCTGTTTATAATTTTTGTGAGACCAAAGTCCTATGTTTGTATACTACAGTCCTAGGTTACCTATGTTAATAATTGTATTTGTTCTACATATTTCAACTGTGTGCTATATTTTCTTCTAATGTGTAAAATATGGGTGCATTTTGAAAACTAAGTTTTATATATTTGTCTTAAAAATCTCTGTATAATATAAATAAATAATAAGTAAAATTTCTAACTGATTTTTAGCCACTGTGAATTTTATAACAAAAAGTAATATATAAAAATTAGCTTTAAAAGTAATTTCTCCTAATTTGACATAAAACTGTATAATCTGTTCTCAGTTTTTTCATGTTTATTTAACATTTGCAATTTTTCTTGTAGCAACTGGCCATAAGGTATAAAAAGTGTAATTGTCGTTTTATGGTTTTTAAAAACTAAGAGAACTGGAATTCTCCTATTAATTATCTTTTTTGTAATTAATGGTATGAAACTAATGAAACATTGTTACTGACAGAGTCATTGTTAAAGATATTTATGTACATTTTCCGTTGGTGGTGTATTCTGAATTAACAGATAAGTATTAAGTCTACAAGATAGGAGGCTCCAAGTCATATACATGTGTTCTTTAGTTGTTAAATTTATGTCCTTGTAAGTTTAAAGTTATCATTTTGGTACTTATCTAAAGAGAGTTGCAAGAAAAAAAAAAGCTAACACTGTCTTTGAATTGCTTTATCAGTGTGGCTTTAATACTTCCATTCTCATTTGTGCTAACAATAAGAATTTTTTTTTCTGTTTTTATTTTATTAAGTTGGTGAGAAAGGAAAAAAAATTTATATTGGCATATTATGACTGATTTAATCTTCATTGCAGTCATAAATTCATTTATTAAATGTCAAGTTTCAGGCTATAAATTTATGTTTGACACTACTTTTGATTGATTTTTGGTTGATCCAGAAAAGACTAAACACAGTTTGACATTTGATAAATACCAGGACTTTGTTTCTCTTTTAATTTAAAAAAGTGTTTATACACTTACAAAGTTTTAAAATTTTTAGCTTTTAAGCATGTGGGTACATGTCTTCACTAATTATGTGCAAATTCATTCATTGTTTTGGGTCATTCCTCTTTTTATAAAATTATTCTCGTCTTGACCTAATGGGATATATAGATGTATCAGAGCCTTTGCTTCCCCTGTGTCTTGACCCCTTGACTACAAACTAGTTACATTGTAAGTAGGTATGTAACTCTTGTGAAAATTATTTACAAAAATGAAACTAGTGGATGAAATTCTTTTAAATTTGAGATGAAAGGTCCTATAAGTATGTAGTTTTGAAAAATATTTAATTTTGATTTTTTCTATTATCTGTAATAATACATTCATTATTTAATGTAGTTATTTGCACTAGGACTCTGAATAGTTCACATGCAATGTGATTTTCATTTTGAGCATAAAAATACTATTTATTATCTTATAGTTTTCATATTTCCTTTGCATAATCTCTAGAACCTCCTAAATGAATATCAAAAGTTTTTTTAAGGTAAATGTTTATATTTTATTTTCCATTTTCTCTACTTTATCACCAACTGTAGTTATTATCATCAATATACAGTGCAATGAAATGTTTAAAATTAAGAAATGGAAATATGTACATTCCTTTTACATTTTTGTAGAATACTTCTGAAACTTCTTTTTGTCATGTTCATAATTTCACTTATTGTTTATTTTTAATGTTCCTTTTCAATTCTTTGTCTTTTATTCTTGATGCAAACCTGTCCCCGTGATGTTCTATTGTTATTATAGGGCCAAGGTCATGCAAATATCATTTCACTAAAGCCATCTTGCTTAGACATTTCCACAAATCGAACTACATCAAGTTAAATGTACACAAATCATAAACCTTTCAGATATGCATTTTAAAACACAAATAATACATAACTAATTAAGATATAAACATAAAATCTGAATGCAGTGTAACTGTTTAGCAAACTAATACATATAAGGCAGGAAACACTTGCCAAGCACTACATATCCCTTAAGAGAACAATGGATTAAGCTTTTTTTGTGTCTAATAATGGCTGGAGACGGCTTGAATGGGTAATGAAGAAAACTTTAATATAACAGCAAATAGTACAACGTTTTTACTACTATTACCCTATTCTAAGACCGTCTCCAGCCATTATTAGTCTCAAAGTGGGTTCCTCGTCATCGAATTCTTTTGTGTCTCATACCACAGATCCATAGACTGATAGAGTTTCTTCACACTATAACTGAATAGTGAGAAATCTGCTCTTTCTGTTGGTTATAAGCATGCTATTCAACTTCAAACCATCACTTGGCAACACAGTTTCCACTTTGCAAGTGGGTGTGGCTGACCTTAAGCTTAGAAAATTTAGAATGTCAAACCCCCATCGAGAAATTCTTGGAAGTTTTCAAATGCTAATGAAAAACAGGTGGAACCTTAATTTCATCTTCTATGTCAACAGTCTTTATTATTTTCTTACAGTATCTTGTGAAATAGCTCTTAAAGTTTAGACTTGTAACTGTGACCAGATCACATGACAACAAAAACTGTAGTTTTAATTGCTGTTTTCAATATTTTTTTTAAATAAAGGAATAAACTTAGATAATATAAAACTTTTAAGTAGATAACATACTTGATAATAGTATTTTCATTAAAATACATTCATATTAAAGTGGTTTAATTAAAGTTTTAATGTAAGTCAGTGACATGCACAGAAGGGGTTTAAAAATGGAGTCGTTGCAAAAGGGTTAATGGGGCGCATCCTGGAAGATTAGTTTTGTTTGAGTTTAAAGTTAATTTTCCCTATAGGGTTGAATCAGATCTGTTTGTGATAGTTTATCATGCAATGAATACATTTTTATTGACTGAAACAGCCTTGTTTTGACATTAAATTAAGTGTTTTGGTGAGTATGACTTTCAGAAGCTGGTGAATAATGATTACAATTATTCTTGTCATAAGACATTAGTATTAGGCCTGTTACATTTTTAAAAACTGCATTCGTTAACTAGTTCCTTAGGGATTGTTAAGAATGAGAAGAGTGTATAATAATAGTATTCCAGTCACATTATACCCATCATACCTTTTGCCAACAATGCATTTTGCAGAGCTCTTCAGGCTGGCTGGGATACAACAAACACAATAGTGGTTGGAACACTATTTATATGAGCCATTTGCATCATCAGTTATAGATATGATGGATATAATGTAGTTGGAATACTATTATTATACACTCTTCTAGTTCTTAAAGACCAGTTAAATAATTTAATGTTTAAAAATGTGATAGGCTTAATACCAATGTCTTATTACAAGTATAATTGTAAATAAGGTAATTTGTTTCTTGTACAGAACTCTGTTTTTTCTAGCTTTTCATCAGATAGGGTTGTACAAATTCACCTTTAATGTCCTGTGTAACATTGACATATGATCTTAAAGCTTTGTATTGTTTTCCACTGTTGTCAGAAACTTAGAAAATATACCATTTAATCAAAGTATTACCTTAGCCAACAGATTATGTGGTTGATCCCAGCAGATCTAGTTGCTATCATTAGAGATCAATTCATTATATATTAGAGGAGATAACAGCTTCTTCTTGTTCTTTCTTTTCTGCATACACTTTATTGGCTGTACTTTATGCAACTTGATTTAAGTCTAGCCTAAAATAATAGGTCACAGACACAAATCCAAGCCCTTGGCTAACCCCTGCTGTGCACAACTTGTCAAATAACAGAATTAAGACAAACTAAGATTGATGAAACTTTTTCACAAGTGCATTAACTAACTGAAGGGAAAAACATAACGTTTTTAAAAATTTTCTTGAATTTATATATATTATTATTATTATGTTTTTATTTACAAGGATTAAAATCATGATAGCTATAGCTACCACAGTTGACAAATTATATGTATAACTGTACTTCAGTTTTGTGATATGAATTAATTGCTGCTAAAATTAATATTATTAATAGTATTAAAATGTGTTTTCATAAACAAATAAAATTTTTTGTGAGTATTTAGTATAAGAACTGTTCTTATTAAAAAAAGGAATATTCATAAATTTTAATTACATGCACACTATCTTTGAGAAATGTTCTGAAATATTTCAAATTAATAATTCAAATATTGTATTAGGTGCAGCCAGCCCTGACAAGGCATATTTCAAGTGCTTAATCAGAAATTCTAAATTTATATATGAACTTTTTTTTTTCTCAGTTTTTAATTCTTTTATTTTCTTGCTCTTACTGAAGGGGGCCGCTTCTTCCTACACCTTCCATGAGCAAAGAAGAACGAAGGCAGTTGTTTGCTATGGAAATCCAGCAAAAAGACCATGAGGAGGCATTAAGGAAACAGCAAGAGCTTATCACTTTTGCACCAGGATTAACTTATGGTTATGATGCCCCAGTAGCTTCCTACACACCATTTTTTGACATGAATGCAGGATTTTATCAAGGTCCTGTACCTGGTAAGCTCCCAAAAATTAAGAGATACTGACAGTATTGTTTTTAGTTTATTAATTTTTATTCTGAAAATTTGATAATAAAATGATGATAATCCAAGAACATAAAGATGGGAATAATAAAAACAGTTCGTAATTTTGTTTCTTAATACACCCAAAAACTTTTTAATAAGTGTTTTTCTAAGAATAACTTAAATTTTGTCAAAACAAAATACATTTAGGTTGTTTTTAGCAGACAAATTATACATCAGAAGTCATATTCTTAAAGTTTCTTCAGGTGAGGAAATACGTAAAAATACCATGACACCGGCAAGAGTTGGCACAACAGTTGCCATGAATTCATTACCCATATTCTTATTGGTGTAAAAGAGAAACAACACCTAAAAAATATCATATCACTTCCAAGAGTGACAGCAGTTGCCATGAGTTCATTATTCATATTCTTATTGGTGTGTTGTTTCTGTTTTACACTAAAAAATATCATATCACTTCCAAGAGTGACAGCAGTTGCCATGAATTCATGATTCGTATTCTTATTGGTGTAAAAAGTAATCAGAAAATATATAATTTTACATTCTTTTGAAAATGTAAGAAAAAGGAAAGTACAGTTTTTTAAATTTTAACCCTATGGGCACAGGTGAAGGTCAAAGTAATGATTTTTTTACAGTTTCCCATTGAGCAAGATTTTACGTATTTGATGTCACAGTTATCAAATATTCGTTTTACTATACATTGTCAATTTAGCAACAGTTTGTGGTAGAGGAGAGTAAATACTAGAAACATTCTAGTTTATATCTGAGTAATAACTATGTTATAATGAGTAATTTACATTAAATTTCATACTTCTTGGAAGGATGATAAATAAATATAGAAGAAGGAAGACCTAGGAAGCAAATGCAACAATTCTCATACTAGGGAAGATTGAGAATTTTTTTTAATATTTCCTTGTAAAAATTAAGAACTTGAAACTTATACAGTATTAAAATTTGATGTATTATCTATGTTTTGATGCCAAGTTTATTCATATACCATAATAATAAAGAAGATTGATTAAATTGTGAATGTAACTCCAAGAAGTTGTAACATGTGCACTTTGACCTGCATGTGGTGAGAGGGTTAATAAGTATTAACTCTCTCAATATGGGCTTGGTCAAGTTGACCAACCATGTCTCCTCTATATACTCATTTTGAAGTCTTTATAGATTTAATACTTCTAACTTTCACTATAGTGTGTATATTTTCACAAAATTTATCAGTCTTTCAGTTAACATTATAAGTCTTTCACATACAAAAAACATATTTTTTAGTGAAGTATTTTTCATAAACTAAAGATTTGTCCATGAATATATTGAGTATTTGTTTTAAATAGTCTGTGTGAAAAGTAATTTTCATGTTAAGATTAATAATACTTCATCTCAAAAATCTCAAATTTCCTTTGTGTAATCCCTAAAATCTCCTAAATACATTTCAAACGTGATTTTTTTCAGTAAAACTTTATATTTTATCTGATATTTTCTCTACCCTATTTCTATACAGAATTGGTCAGTTTGACTGACCTCGTAATCACAAAAAAAATTGAAATAAATCTATATTACTCTTTTTTTTTTTTCTAGAATGACTTCAAATTGTAACATGAAACTACATTCGTTTTTCCTAAGTAGCTATAAGCTCATAACAGTATACATCTATTTATAATTAAATTTTATTGTTTTATTGCCCTATTGATTGCTCTTTGAACTGTGTCTAACTACTATTCATGCCAATATAAGTTGTAAATCACTTGTGGAACTTGCACTTCATGTTACACTATTGAATTACATCACCCACGATCTACTATGAGCTGCTCAAGTGTGTGTGCCTCGTTAAACATTTTTATTATATTGTTATTATTTATTTTACCTAATTAAATCTTAACTAACTT